TACCGGGTATCTGAATTTCAAAGAAAAAATTCTTTGACATACGGCATTGAGAACTATTTATTAAAGATACTATAAAATAGAATTGTTGGTAACCCTTTTTCACATACTCACGTTTAATAGTAATATTAAAAATGCAATGAACTGTAAGGCCGTTGAAAGGTTTAAGAGCTGTGTATTGAGCTGTATAATTTCCCCAGATAAAGATTGATCCATGCTCCGGGTAGTTAGTGGTCACTTCGACATTGTGTCCAAAAGGGTCGTAGAAGTCAGGTCCACTCCATGTGATGTTGACGAGTGGTGATGATGAATCTCGTTGTATTTCTGGGGGGCAGTACCTCTTAATCGGTGGTTGGATATCTTACATTACCGGTAGAATTTTAAAAAAAGAGTTACACTTATACACAGGCAAAAGAGACTCAGATAGATTTTACATGAAATTCACATAAATTTCATGTGAATTCTAAGCATGAACAATAGAGGAGAACAATGCATTCGTAAATTATATGAACACTTTAAATGCTTTTGACATATTTTTCATATGAATTTTACATAAAGAGCATATTGCATAAATATCTAACAAAGAAAACTTCATATAAAAATTCGTCTTAAAAATTATGTGAATATCATAAAAATTCATTCCTATGCAATTCGCATGAATATTTATACAATTTTGCATGAAAATCATATCATTTCCAAATTAAGATATAATACCATGAATATCACTTGAATCACTTTTCCCTGTGTATTCAAAATAATATACATTCTGTATATATACATTAATCAAATTACCGAAATAAAGTGCCAAAAATTCATCACTTAATATTCATTATAAACAATTTCCAGAGATAAAAAACATAATTGAAGTCTAGTATTTTAAAAATATTTTTTGAAAAACATAGTTTTAAATGATTCCTTATTCTTCTGAATTCATACAATGATATGGTTGAAACAAGTACAAACCTTTTTCGCAATGAACACCTGTGTAACCATGGATACAGTTGCAGGTGTATCGATCCTCGCCATCTATACAACTTCCGCCATTTTGACAAGGATTACTATTGCACATGTTCACAACTATAAATTTTTAGAATTTTTATAATTTTTTGAAGAAAACCTATATTTCTAAGTTTTACTATTTGGTAGAATCGGAAGATTTAAAAGCATTATTGCAGGACAGATTAAAGTCCCTAAAATTATGAAACAATTTCTGACTTAGTCAACACTTAAACCTCCTGTGTCATGTGTATGATGTTTGTTTAAACTTTACCACGAAAGTCCAAATACTAGTATGTAGTAAGCAATAGTTTATAATGATTACTTGATTAACATTTTGTTTCAGATTGATTTACTTTTACAGCAAGAAATACAGCTAGAAAATTTTGATCCAAATTTCTTCATCATGTAGTCTCTTTATTACAAAATCGTTTATCTTAGGGATAATGTACCCGGTAAGTAACATTCTTCTTTTGGAAGAAAATTAAAGCATCCCCTTTAGGAGTGATAAAGGAAATGAAAAATTTGCAATTAGCAATCAAATAATATTCTTAACTCACAAATGCATGATGGGAGATTTCCAGACCAAATCTTATCCCTTTGACAGGTCCGCTGTTGATTGCCGACAAGTTTATACCCCGTCTTACAGCTGTAGATCACAGATTTTCCCTGGGAAAAATCACTCCCATGGAGGTTACCATTATTTGGAGTGCCAGGGTGACCACATGAAGTTACTGAAAAAAATGTTGCCATTGATATTAAAAAGCTTTAATTGATACTAGAAATCTGCAAATTTATGTCTGAACTCGACACTAGTGTCCGTTGCAAAGTGAGAAATATTCTTTTATAAAAATCTTCTGCGAATTAGAATATCGATTTACTTTGATTAAGTTTAGAATTTTGGTAGGATTATATATTATCTGACTTAAAAATTCCATTCTGTAGACAACAAAAGGAATACTGGATAATGAAACTGGACTAGGAGGAAAATATTCTGTTACTTCCTGATCTCATTATGAGGGCTTCAAAATCAAGTAAGCCTAACAAGTTTGTAATTACGGCTGAATTCGAAGCTTACAAACACAAAGAACAAACACAAGACAGTAAAAGAGATGAACAGGAAAAGAAGGCATTGAAGAGAGGCAGACAACAAACTGCAAACATAAAATGGATAATTGACGAAACAGTAATGCCACTGCATTAACTCGTTGGTAATTGAAACTGAAAATTTTACTGTTTTAACAAATTAGTTCATAGATTTCATTAACTAATATATGCAATTTTAGCACTTGGTTGATTCTTTTCCATTTTTTGCAGTAAAAAAATTAACAAATAAACAAAACAAATATCAGACACATTGATACTTTTAATATATATTATGTATGTCCATATAGAGAAACAGGGAAAATGCCAAATTTGTTTGTAAACAAGACCCCCCAGAATGCAGTTTTATTTTATAAGAAAATGTTCGAAAATACAAATATTTGACATTGTCTTAAATTAATACAAATAGGAAAGTTTATTTTAATCAATGCTCACCTTTGCATTTTGGTTTTGCTAGATTGTCTCGAATTGAATTCAAAGTATCAAAGGTAGATACATCAAACACATAGGAAGTTTTTGTTGCCATTCCCTGAAGTTCAGACGTATCAATACCGTCACCGACTCCAACAGAAAAGATTATGACGCCATTGTTACGTAATAATTGGGCTTCAGACAATGTCGAAGACTTGTCATTCGACTTTCCGTCAGTAATGATTACTGCTATTTTGGGAACAAAGTTTCTGCTATACGACCCGAAGCTCGAAATACGAGCAAACCGAATAGCGCCGGATGTGTTTGTACTTCCACTGTTATACGGGATATTAGAGATGCTGAATTTAAGAGCAGAGTTAGAATCAAAAGACGTCAGCTGAACTGTATTGTATACTGATGTACTGAAGGGTACTATTCCCACTCTGACGCTATTTGAACCAATATTAAATCCATCTGTCGTTGCTTTTAAAAATTGTTTTATTTTATCGAAATTGCCTGCCCCAACACTTCCACTAGAGTCAAGAATGAAAACAATGTCACCAGTTCTGTCGCCACATTCTGCTAATAAAAAATGGAAAGTTACTTCACGAAAAATATAAGCACAAGTTAAAAAGATACTTTAGATTAAAGTACACGATAAAAATATATTTTTAAGAGACGACAGGAGATGTAAAGGTTATTAAAAATACCATTACTAAATAAGTTCAAGTTTGAACTGACATTAGATAAGTTGTTACACATAATGACGATATCATAGCAACTTTCTGGGATTTTTTATGCAGTTCTTGCATAGTAGATCTTTCTAGAGCATTTTGAAGATTAAGAACTATTCAACTTAAAACGCCTACTAGACAAGTTATAGAACTTGTACATATTTATGATACTGCATGATGATGATGAAGACTAAAAGATCTAGAAGTATATTGAAGCATTGCGAAGAATTATACATGATACAGTTTAGATAATAATTCCAAATTAAGTAAGATTTTAAGCAAGAAATATTTGCTTAAAAAGATATATCAAGGCATATTAGCAGACATGATAATTTATTTACCAGGTGTAACATTGTGTGTAGAAAAAAGCAAGATGATAGCAAAGAAGTGTATTTTCTCTATCTGCATTGTAGAGGGACAATTATATCACTTCTTTTGATGCTATGTGATATCTATATCCCAATCAAACAAGTCCGTTTCTTCATTAATTTCTTTTATATCTCTGTAAAAAAGCAGATGGGTACATAACAATCAATGTGAGAAATCATTCAGTTTAGGACTAAGTTTCATCCAAAGTATGCATTGCTAGGATGAGCTGTGTATTTGAAAATACCTTGAGTATAAGTCACATTATCCAGCGATGGGGTAAACGATGAGAAACCGATGCGTTTTTTGATGAAAATGGCGTGGTTGCTTGCCGGGCACCGCTAGTAATCGGACGGTGACTGAGGCTTTTTTTGCGAATCGGTGGGGTCATCGGTAGGAAATAATTCGTAGTTAAAATTCAGCGATGTCTACAACGATCACTCACATCGCTCCTCATCGGCAACCCATCCTAAACACATTTTTCAAGGATCGGCCGATGTATGGCCGAGCATCGTCCAATATCCGTTGAATTTGAGGTCAACGGGGAGTTGAGTGGTGTTCAACAGATAACGACCGATCATTGGTCGATGTTCGCCCAAATATTGGCCCGTAATCGACCGATGTACGAACGATGTTCACCAATGCATGAGCGATGTAATATACATCGGCCGATTACGACTACCGGCCGGGAAATGTGACCTAGGCATTAGTTACATTATCCCTGCCGATATTCAGCTGATTTTAAATGATTTTTGTGTGACCTGTCGGCAGGGGATGCTCACTCCTCCATAGCACCTGATCCCACCTCTGATGTTTCGGGGGTCCGTGTTTGCTCTGCTCCTATTTTGTATTGTTTTATGGATTTTAGATCTCGAATACTGTGCGTTATCTTCACTTGTTGCAACATTTGAAATAAGTATCCCTATGATTCCGACCTAACTCGGAGATGTCTCTGAATCGACACACCATGATATTTCAAAATCAAAATAACTTACATGACCTTGCAATTACTGTAATTAAAATGCTTTTCCTGTTTAGATGCATTATACAAACGTTAGATGCTTATTTTAGTCACCTATAATCTGGATACATTTCGTACAAAACATAACGTGTACCAACACTTGCTGCATCTAACAGTGATAACAATCACATGATATCTGTGACAATATCTAACGTCTAATTACCGCAAAACCCCGAAACCTGAGCCTATGCATTACCTAAATTTGTTAACTCTGAAACCTGTGATATACAAAAATATATTACAAACACTACATTTTAACCACAGAAATGTAAAATTATAAATATATACATTTGTGGTATCTTTCCATTATATGAACATACAGAGAGAAAATATCTTCAATTATGTATGAAGTTTGTCAGAGGTCAGATGTCAATACGTGACCTAATCACACGGCGCAATAATATCCTCCGGTACATAAATTATGAAATGACCTGCTTTGCCTGCTTTTCATGTATAAAAAAGATCAAAATAAGCAAGTAAAATAATAATTATTTTATTTAAAATGTAAACAAGTATTTCATACATTTTTTGGCTTTCGACAGTTTTACATTTACGTTTGTTTACATTTTTTTGTTACTTTTGTCAGCTGCACAGTCTCTAACGTTCATCCTTATTTTTGGAGTAGACCTTTTGTTAAATTTTCATGAAAAACTATTATTTTATCTTTAAATTCTACTCACAATAAATGTGTAAATCTGTCGGAAAATATCATTGCAATCATGCCATGAACAGCTGCCAAACACCTCGGCGTTTTCGTAGTTTAATATTTAAGCTGTAGCCAGTGTCTCTGGGTTTTACAGTGTTTTAGGAAAAGGATGCCTTTAGTTACTTAAATCGTAGAATGTTTTTTGATTAAATTGCAAATTAACCGGCTCGGACAAGTGTCTCAATCCATCGGATGCATCCATCCCTTTCGACCGAAATTCCTCCAACTTTTTATCATCAAACTTCGGACGTGTTTCTCGTGTCTTTTCAGCATCGATTAACAATTTTCACGAATCGAAATATTCCCAGACAACAATCTGTTCACTATTACTGATCACAAGTAGCCTTTCACAAAATTTCCCTTCGAAATAGATCCCTTAGCCTAATGTATTCGAAGCGTAACCGCCATGCAAGCCGATTTACACCTTGCGTCATTTTTAAAATCTACGACGGACGGTTAGTGCAATAATTTATATTCGGAAATATTCAATTGTCTGTCTCAAAAGTATATAAGTAATAAATAACAAGTTTATAAACTTTAATGGGAATTGAAGTGGGTCGGTACGTGATCAAATCTTCTGAAAAGGCCTTCGGCCTTCACAGGATTTGATCAAATGACCGACCCACTTCAATTCCCATTGAAGTTTATAAACTTGTTATCTATTTCTTAAAAGAATGCATAAAACATATTATTTACATTAATATTACCTTCTTTCATCAATTTTATATAACTTTGAATAGTTTTTTTTCGGATATTGCTATATTTGTTAATTTGCTTAAATCTGTAAACGATAAAAAATCCTACTTCAAGTTTTATACCACATCATTTTATTGACTTTATTCATATTTGACTTTTCAAATTAATGTAAGTTAAATCTATTTAATTTTAAATTATTTTATCTTTCATTGATATCATCAAACTACATAATAAAAGCACAAAAATGAAATCTTTAAAAATATACACATGACAATTTTTTTTAAAGATAAAATGATTTTTAAATATATTCCTTTTTTACGTTTTATCCACTTCTGCATATGCAGAAGTGGATAAACGATGAAATATAAATATAAAATATAAACGATAAAATATCAATAACTGACTTACCTCCACTGGAAGAATGATCCCTTGCTAAAACGAAAAACATTTCCTTCTTTATATTTATGTCAAATTAGCACTTAACAAACATTTCAACTTAAGACGCTGGGTCTAACTTTATCCGTACTGAAGGCGAACAGGCCGCTTGGGTTTGCCTAGATGTTTACAAACGGGATCCGTTGTCTTTTACTGTTAGTTTGTGGCCTCTACTTTGCACAATGTTACGACTCAACAGGGTTGGTAAGTATCTGTGATTTTTTATTCACAGATTTTATATATATACTCCGCCAATTATTGTGTAACGTTACTATGTTACTACAGTTGTTTATTTTGTAAAGCTTCTGAAGATAGAATGAAAGGCCTAAAGCTTTACTGGAGTTTTTCGTGTTTTTATTTTTTTCTTTAAGTATTTAATTACGACCACTGAGACTATTTATTGGATTTTATATATATATATATATATATATATATATATATATATATATATATATATATATATATATATATATATATATATATATATATATATATATATTAAATACATGTATTGAGAAATATGTTTGTATGTTTTTATTTTCTTTTTCAGTCGGAGTATGGGAAAAATTCACTCTATAACAGTGGTCAAAGATGTATGTAAAATGTATTCTTATAATTTTATCTAATAATTGTATGTTTTTTTTTCTTTTTATTACTTTATTGTCTGATTTCCAAATACTATTTAAAAATCACATATGAAAAGTTATAAAAATAATTTTTCTGAATAATATTAATTTCAAAAAAAATTCTTGTAACACACGTCATTGTCATTTTATCGAGTTTATTCATATTTGACTTTTCAATAACAAAATGTTTCCTTTTTACTAATAAGAAAAAAAACCTTCAAAGGTCCTTAGATCTTCCAAAAGTATAAATGTACAGTGTGACGATTCTGTCGCATTACTTTTTTTTTTCCTGAAAGTTGACACAACCCCTTCCAGTGCCTGGGATTGGCTGAGAAATATAAAAGTAAAGAGAGAAAAGGGAATGTTATCCATCGGTGTTTACTGGTCGCATCCGTGTACAAATAATTCAAAAGTTGGATCTGTCAAGTACGATTTTAATTCGATATGAAACAAATGAATAAGTCCAAAGAACAGAATGAACTTGGTAATGGACTAATTTTGTTTGGTTGCTTGATAAATTGATTGATTATATGTACTTTTCTCGGCTCTCGGGGCCATTGGACAATGGGACCTTTCATCGAATGATCTGCAATTTTCCTTTCATAGTGCCTAGAACCCTGCTATGTTTTTAATGTCCTTCAAATGTTGCGAAGTTTATATTTTTTGATTTTCTGATTTACACATAGAATTCATAAAATGGTAAGCAAGAATCATCAAGAAGATACCTACCAAGGTCTGACAGAAATAGGCTACTTCGCCTTCGATAGGAATGAAAACATTGAACTGTGTTCCTTTACCATCCATATAGCAGGTCTCTCTCTCTCTCTCTCTCTCTCTCTCTCTCAGAATAACACCAAAAAAGAAAACATTGCAAACAATAAAACTAGTTCATTTTCATTTTTAAATTAATTCTCTACATTCCTTCAATGTGTATCTTATTTTTCAAGCAACACGATGTCCCAGTTTTGTGCTGGGCCCTGGCTTAATTAGAGTGTGTACAGATTACGATGACAGATTAGGAAGCAAGTGTGAATTTGATTGTAAAAGTGGATATAGCCTCTTTGGTGAACATCAACTGGAGTGCCAATACGATGGCAGATGGAATGGGGAACTTCCATTGTGTAAAGGTGACATTTCTGTCTTCTTCTAACTTATGAAAATGCGCTGCAGAGAGTTTCGCCTACCTCATCAATGAATTGGGCATAACGTGTGAAGTTAGCGAAGGAAAAATCATGCTCTTCTCACTCCCATGCTAAACGATAAAAATTTTACATAATTTCCTTTGTGAAAATATTTAACTTTTAAGCATATTTTACATTAGGTTTTGAAAATGTTTTGGTATCATTATACAGAACTGGGACTTGTTGTGATTGTTGTAAATTACGACAACTATGTACAGATGTATGTTGAAGTGTGTACCAGAATATATCTTTTCTTCAGACCTGTACTACATGTATTCATTTTTTTAGCTCTACTGGTTAGTGACTAGAAGAGTACTGGATAGTAAGGTTCCTTCGTTCTATAAACAATTTTTCAAAATGCTATTTTTCCTACAGTTTTAATCTGATTTCAATATAAATTAGCAAACTTGTAGACTACACTAAGAAAAATAATCTATACATCGGTTTTTGACCTCGATTAACGTTGTTGTTGTTAACAAAAAATTAGATATTTCTGTGAAATACTTTCAAAATGCTACTCCTAAAGTTTTGGTCTAATTTAAATATAATGCATTATACAGCAGGGCTACAGTCTCGGCAGAGACTTCTGTTTTTTTTTTTATTTATGCTAAATTTCCTATGTAGTACATTGTTTTCACATACGACTCAGCTCAGAGTCTATAAGTATACATATCTTTCAAAAGAAGGGAGGGGTTGTGGGTTTTGGGTTTAAATTAAAGAAATAAACACACACACTTAATATGAACAAATACAAACATTTGCAGCATGATTTACACTTCAAAGGTTGGCATCGCATTTTTAAAGTTATGTACCAAAAATTCTTAGTTGAATAAAAAAGAAATGAAGTATATGGAGCCATAAACATCACTCAAGCTAAAAATACAAATTTTGGAGCAGAGGAAACATGGGCCGCTAAAAACTCAAAGGTGGGATCGGGTGCCATTGAGGAGTGAGCATTTTTATAAAAATGCTGTGAAAATACTCAGATGATGATGATGAGAAATTCTACAATATTTTTTTATAACTTTGATTTCGGGGTGGATTCTGAGGCAATCTTTTTACATTGTCTCTCCAGACAAACTGACTGAAATGGACAAACTCAAAAATTCTCTTAACTTTCAGAGATCTATATTTTTTCTTTTTTCCCCCTGAATATTCTTATTCTTCAACATGTATGTTGAAATTTTCAAAGAAAAAAATTGTTCCGCATACCGCCCGATCCATTTTCTTTTTACACTGAGTCAAGAGATTTTTAAAATGGTCAATTTGGATGAGCCTATATATAAAATAATGCAATGGTTATAAGAATTGAAGATCAATGTAAATATTTTGGTTGTTTTAGAGTTTTGCCCGCCACTTCCTGCAAAAAATGAAAGTTTCTCGTACATTTGCACCAATGAGTTTGAGTATGGAAGCGAATGCTCATTTATATGCCCACCTGGATTTGACATTCCTCAAGGAGAGAACAGATTAAAACTTTGTACAAACGATGGAAATTGGCAGGGATCGTTTCCACCCTGTATTGGTGAGTAGATTCAACAGAAATTTCATTTTCGTTGCTTTTTATGTCTAGTTTTCTTCTTGGTTATTCTTTCTGTATTTGATTTTTGGTGTTTCGGGGTTACTTGTCATTCATATGCTCCTATATACTCTTAAATCATCAGGGGAAACATTTTTATTTAGATGTATCAAAATCAAAAATACTAAACTGTAACCCCTTTGCCGATGGTACAGCGGATAAAAATTCTAGTAGTGGAAGGATATACTGGGATGAACCATCTGTGTATGATAACGCTGACAAAATCATTACCTTAAAAAAGACTGGGGGAATTTCTCCTGGAGACAAAATTGAGGCTGGTACATATCAAGTAACATATACAGCCGTGGACCAGTCAGGCAACAAATCCAGACCATGTACAGTGACATTATCTATGAAAGGTAATGATACCGCAAATATAAACAGTGATGTGAAAAATGGTCATCCCCTTGGGTACAAATACTTTCATAGTTTTAAAATATTTGGTTTTTTATTTCATCGTGTTCATAATCAACAAAAATGACTCAATTCTTTTACAATTATTTATATCTTGGATATTTTCAAGTCACTTTTATAAAAAAAAGAAACCGGTCTTTTGAAATAAACCTTAAAATGGAGGACACGAGCCAGGGTAGTCGTTGGCATGATAAGGAATTCACATTGCCAAAAAACGTTGGGTGCCATGTTAAGTCTAAATTTGAAGCCATTCATCAGTATATGTAGACGTCTTTTATAGATGATAAATTCCTACAATCTTTCTTGGGTTTCTGAGCGGAATCAGATTTTCTCTAGATCGGCAGAATTGATATTTTACTGACATAGAAGATATAAATCATTGCATTAATATTTGATATTTGTTTATTTTTATAACGAAATAATGGGATTTTAATAACAAAAGATTGGTATGTGGTTTTAAGGTCTTACTGAAGTCTAACTAATATGTTGACGGTGCGACCGTTATGGCGAGCGCAGATCTATATTTTATTTTGTTATAATTAAGATCGGGCTCGTCAAACTGCACGTGATATTTGGTGCCTCTAGACTCTGACGTCACATGACGTCGTCAAACTTCCGCCAGAGTTCGTTTGTACCAAACCAAATGCGGAGACGCAGAGGACTATGGGTAGTTTGATGACGTCGTATGTAAGTTACATTTCCAAAAAGAAGCATGAACAGTGCCGAAAGTAAATGAAGAACGTTTCGTTTACTATTTATCTTCAATATTTATCAATTAAATCAGGGCATGTTTACTTTTAGTTGAACTTTTGCTGCTATTCTCGTGAGAACGTAGCTTTAACAAGTGATGCATTGTGGGTCCAAATACGGCGTCAAAAAATTCTATCGAATGAATGTGCAGTAGTCCGAATTTTCTCTTCGCACAGGCGTTGCTTTAAGAGCTCGCAGTGACGAGCGTCGCTTCGCGACGCTCGCTGCGCTCGCTAATATTTATTCGGATTTCATTACAGTGTATTCTTGTCCACCTTTGTTTGACAATAATTTCCTGTCTGTGAACTGTCCTTGGGGATATCGATATGGCGCGCAGTGTTATTTTTCATGTAGAATCGGATCTGTATTGGTGGGAACCAACATTACAAACTGTGTCAAGAGTAGGAATGGAAAGTATGTCGACTGGGATTTTGGGAAAACATATCCCTATTGTGAAGGTAAGAATCCTACAATGGGCGCGGGCAATTATTCAAACATAACTTTTTAATTCAAAATATTGATAACCACGTATTAATATTCGTTTGCTTGACATTTTCTCATCTTAACGTTTCCTAATTTTGTTGATATTATTTCTTAAATATATATTAAAAATGTAATTCAAACTTGTTATTAATGAATTTTTAAGGTATTAAAGTAAGTATTGTTCAAGAAATTTATTGCGATAATAATGATAATAAAATCAAATATGCCAGTCATTTTCTATGTAAAGTACATGAATGATTTATAATATTCAAAATGTCACATGACCTCAACATATCTTCTTCTTGAGAGAGGAGAAGCAAAGTACTTTGAAAATTCATTTTTAGCGGAAACTTCTGTAACAAATGATGCAATAATGAATCCTTTAAAAAATTTTTAGTTTTTTTATTGCATTAGCAGATCCAAATGTAAGCACTATGGTTACAAGTGATATTTTCGATTCCATTTGGTAACAGTAGCAAATGCCCATTTTTTATTAGCTGCGAATGAGATGGATACCCTTAATATTATAGAAAGAATAGCAATTACCATGTCTATTTATAGTAAACCCCAAATACGTGACTCATCAAACATAAATAGAAGGTACAAAAGGCACTATATTATAAAGACTCCATCAGAGTTTCAATAAATTTCATTCATTAATATGAGAGTTGCTAAAAATGTCTATAAATGACATATATTCCTATAATTGCTGCTTAGCAAAAAAAAGTTGTGTATTAGCAAATTTTCGGAGAAGCTCACGATCATGAAAGTTATAAAATCTATTTTCTTTGCAGTTTTTCGGGCTTGTGCTAACGACCCTATTCCACCAAAGAATGGCGCTGTTGCCTGTGATTCGTGGTTGGATGGAAAGTTTTGCCAGGTTCAGTGTCAGAAAGGGTTTGACTTTAAGCCTGGATACCCTTTTTATGAGATGTTGGTCTGCGGAAACAGTGGAAAAGACCATGGACAGTGGATACCAGAGAATGCCCTTCCTATTCCAGATTGTTCAAGTAAGTTTTTAAATCTTTAGATGAAAAACTTTTTACACATCTTTATTCAAATAAAAACAATCTGCGAACAGGAAGGAAATTATTTTATACCAAAACACCCTTCTAATGAAATGTAACTTTGTGAATAAGCGGACTGTGGCAAACAAAGGATGCTATTCCAATGCTGGGCTGTTTATGTAGGCATATTTTTTGTGATTAAAGTTTGTTTCCTATGAAAATACAATTAAAACAATGTGTATAATTGTACTATCTCCTCCAAACATAATGGTAAAGTTGTAATGTGAATTATATTTCCAGGATTGTTCTAATAATTGATAAAATGAGATGTTATGAAAAGTTATAAATGAAACATATGGAGATAACAAACTGTTTTCAAGATCAAACCAATACAAAATAGTAGCAGAGAAAACACGAACCTACAAAATATCTTAATTGGGATCAGATGCCATGCAGGAGTGAGCACCCCCTGCCGCTCGGTCATACCCGCCGTATACTCCTTGTCATGATCGGGAAATAATAGGAAAACCCATCGTCGATTTAGTGTATAAATAATAGAATAACAATTAGTATGAAAAACGTCAGTCAGCATTTGGCTCAATGATAATTTGTATTCAATTTGCTGACGAGGTTATCGTATCGACCACATAACTTACAAAATGAAAACTCTACACTGCTGATGTTCTTCTTTCTTTACATTGCTTGTCAATAATTTATTCCGTTTTAGAAATTGTTCATACGTAGAGCATGCTCTTGCGTATCGAATCAATGAGATATATAAACTGCATGCATATGTTGAAGGTATATTGCTGTATAAGTAAGGAAAGTTGACCATTGTAAAGTTAAAGTCGTCACGTTTATCATAGAGCTTGGTTGTTAAATAACCATTGGCGTCTTTTTCAAGTAATTTTTTCAAATATAAACAAATGTTTCAGATTCTGTTGTATCTTTAATATCACGCTCACCAGGTTATATCGTATCGACATAAGAATGGAAATTACCAATGTTAATTGACAATACGTCAGCGATATATCTTAATGTCGAGTTAAAGTTCACAGCAAGTATTTTCTTTGTTTCACGTACAAGATTTTGGACAAAATGATACCAATTGGAATTCCAATAGATTGTTGGAAGACATGATCTCAAAAAATAACATAGTTGATGTCAATCAAAAACTCAAAAATCTTTTTTTCAACATTTCAACTTTAGAGAACTTTTGTGAACAACCAGAATGCTTTTAACAGAATAATTTTGCAAATGCTCAATGTAAGTAAATTTACGAGTTCCATTTTTATTGAAAAAGCAGATGTCAATAATACCCAAAAGCCTGGACTTTAATTTATCGTGGGGAATGGTTGTGTAAAAAGTTGAAAAGTCTTAAGTTTTTAAGATGTTGATTTTGGTAAAATCTTGTGATTTCAAATCTTCCTAAACTTACTTGGAAGTTTTATGTATCCACGCCTGATTTACACCACTTCTTGAATATATTGTTGCATTACACTTTTGAAGTTTTTCCTTAGAAAGAAAAGTATGAGTTTAATTTGGAATACCACTTGTAGTATTAAATTCAAGTTCTAAAATACAATTTATATAATAAGCCTTACAAACTAAGACAACGTTGTTACTTGCTTTGTCAGCAGCGACCAGTACATACTGATCATGTAACCTATCCATTTTTTTCACTTCTGAATTGTTGAATACAGAAGGAAAGATGGTTTTCATTTCCATTTCATATTTCCCTGAATCTTTTAATACGCGATTGTAACATAGATACGATGCATTTAATCCATTCTGACAAAGTTTCAACGTCGTCTTTTTTCATATCTGTCTTATATCCGTCCCATCGCCTGGCGCCACCTTCTACAGAATTCATAATATTTATGAAATTCCGTCATCAAGTTAAGGATATGGGTCCATTATATTTAGGACCGTTTAAAATTATATGTTTTTCAAATCTTAAATTTGCCAAAAATTAATGGTCAGATCATCACTGAATATCTTATTTACACGTTTAATTTAGTTCTGATTTTGTTTAATATTTACAAAAATAACATAACAGTCTGTAATTCAGATGCAACTAAAGCGAGAGATATGCAAATCGGTTTTTGTCGTGTCAATGTCATATTTTTCCGAAATTCGGGTGTTTTGCACAATCAAACCTAACCCAAACCAAACTCTCACTTTGTATGTACACACATAATTTTACTGCCTGTCGGGTGTTGGTAATAAGTTTGGTTCTGGGATGTAATAAAACACGTTTTCAATCAAACATAGTAAAAAAAACTGTATGATATGAATGAAGAACTCTCATTAGCTATTTTCATAAAGAGTTTTTTAGATGAACAGAAAACTCTAATTTTTTAGTATTATAATCATTTGCAAGGCAAGCAATAAGGAACTGTCCTTTAAACGTGCCATCCATTTTCCTTATTTGTTGTTTTGTTGCAAGAAAATTTTATAAGTATTTCCCTTAACTGAGAATAAACACTAAGTACTCTTTACATCAAAAATATTATTTAAGTGGTTTCTGTAATCTGATCATAATAAAAAATAGTCTTAAAGTATTACACAAAACATAATACATCAACTAGACTGAGTAGATTTAATCTAAACATACCTTTTGTGCTTAAAAAAGGATTTTTCATGATTATTGATGTTTTTTCGTCGAACAATTCATTATTTAATAAGAGGCTTTTGTATCCATAGGTGACAAAGTGTTATTTATTATAGGTTTGTGAACATAAGTTTGACACTGTTAACTTTTTTGTCACTTTCTGTAGTTCTTAAGTCTTCATTAATTTTAAATATCCCAGTATAATATATCTTACTCTAGCTATACGCATTCAAAGTAGTAATTATATGATTTCTTACATTTAAAAAATTAATAGACATCATATAATTATTTACCATTTTTAAAGAGTAAAGAGTACAAAGAATTAGAAGTAGTGATCGTAGTAGTATAATAGGTTAATTTTTATTCTTATTGTTAAAGTGATTATTGTAAATTTACAGAACAGAACGACATAAATACAGCGACAACAAAAATGGACTCTTACTACGATGGGGATTGTACAAATGCTGATGTACAGGAAAACATTCGACAAAACTATATAAGTTCTTTGTCGAATTCTACATTCAAAGAAGTCTGTCTGAGATATACAAGTCAGTGCAAAACTGAACATGTCAAGGTATATCTTAATTCATTTTAAACGTTTAAAATAGTATTGGATGAGTGGATAAATTAATGCAGAATGTTTTCATAAGACGCAAATACATAAACCTTTTTCTTGAAAACTATGAAGTGAATTAGTGCATATTTCCTGTAGATACTCTGTGGCGGTACTATGGGAAGAAAAAATCAGCAAAATCTACAGTGAAGCAGACATTTGATCCTGACTTAATTATTCGCCCACCCTAGCTGTTGGAAGGGTAATGTAAAATGTAGAGGATCTTTCTTTTAATGCGAATTGAAAAAATGAAAATTCCTCAGTGGAATGTCAAAGACAAATGTAACATCTTTTTAAGATTGATTACTGTTTGATCTCTTTATACTTATTCCATTGTTGCTGAATACTAGATTAACAATTTTGTTAATTCCTGATCTTTGTAATTATATTGTTTTGCGGAATAAAAACTTAATTTGTCAGTATATTAAGTTTTTGAAATCATGTACAATGAATATATTTCAATGGATATTGTACATGTTGTCATATACTCAGGTGACTTATTAGGTGTTTGGGGTCCTATTTATTTGTTTTTTTGTTTGTTCCTTTGTTGTTTTTTTCAATTGAAAGCAAAGAACAGATTTGCATTTAAAAATAATGTTCTGGTTACAGAATTACAGGATGCAATTAAAGTTTTCACTTAAATAACAAAATGCAAACAAAGGAATTAACGCGGTT